ACTGGCCCTCATATGTGGGATCCGAACCAGGGCCTTCTGGCGTCCTAAGCCAGTTCTTAACCATCGCGCCACTCGGCTGGCCCCTCTTTTTGTTTTTTAGAATTTTCTTTTCACTATTTATATACTATTAGGGAGCATTGGCAGCTTAACTTTTTTTCAATTACAGTTGATATACAATATTATATTAGTTTTAGGTGTACAATATCGTGATTAGACATTTGTATAATTTACGAAGTGATCAGGTACTTCTCCTGAGAACAACATTCTTGCGTTCTCTTTCCCCTATCTTTACACAAATGACTACAAGCTTTTTGTTATATAACTTCTTATTTCAAAAAGAACATTCTGACATTAACTTAGACCTGACATAGACGGATATCTAAATTTTCCCATAAATAAGTTTCTACATTTCAGGTTTTCTACGGGAAAAACAGCAGTGTTTCCCAAATTGTGAAGTGGGCTTCTCTGAAGTGAGGTTAAGGGCTGTGATATCAGCTGGATTTTTAAAAATTTAATGAGACTTATATGTAAATGTATGTTCATAGAGGAAAAACTCTAAAGATAGGTACCAAAATATTAACAGTGCTTATCTCCGGGGGTAGGATTATGGGTAATTTTAAATTTTCTTTTTTTACTTACCTGTATAGTCTAATTTTCTATCACAAACACCTATTATTTTTATAATAACCAATGATGTAATACAGGATAAAAAGGGAAAATATAGAAATGTGGTTTTAGCAGGCCTCCCAAATATATCAGGTCTTAATCCCTAGAAACTGTAAATGTTGTATCTTTGTAGCTGTGGTTAAATTAAGAATCTTGAGATGGGGAGATCATTGTGGATTATCTGCGTGAGCCCTAAATGCAATCACAAATGTCCCGGCAATTCTGAGTCCTTATTGTATGAATTGCCTGTTCAAGACCTTTTGCCTCTTCTTTCTTTATAAACCAATTATATTGAATTATAGGTTACACACATGAAAACACACCCATTTAAAGTTGAATTATTTTTATAAAGACCACCCCAAGCACATAATACAAAACATTTCCATTGCCCCAAAACCTTCCCTCAAGCCTACGTATTTGTAGGCAATTTCCCAAAACTTAACTACTCATAATCTACTGTTGACTGGGAGCCTTACTAATAACATAAACAGTTGATTAACACATATTTTGTATGTTATATGTATTACATACTGTATTCTTACAATAAAGTGAGCTAGAGAAAATATTAAAATCATAAGAAAAATACATTTACAGTATTTATTGAAAAAATCCACATGTAAGTGGACCCATGCAGTTCAAATGAATGTCAACTGTACTTTGAAGTAGCATAAGTTAATTGAAATCAATGAAATGAAAATTGAAACAAAACATATATCACCCACCAAACTGGCATGTTTTTAAAAAAATATTATATCCAGTGTTGATAATGGAGATAGGGATAAGGAAAAAAGTACTATTACATTCTGCCAATAGGGGTGTGACTTGTTGCTACCTCTTGGAGTACAAGTTAGGAATATAGCAATAAAGTTAAAAACTTTTGACATTTTTACCCTCTTTGACCTCAGTTATTTCTCTTTTAAAAATTTATCCTAAGGAAATATTCATGAATATGTATAAAGGTACAGATACAAGGCTGTTTCATGGTGCTGTTTATAATTATGAAAATTTGGAAAGAAATCCAATGACCAAAAGATAGGGAGTAGGCTTTAAGAAACTATAAAATATCCATTAATGAAAGAAAAAGCAACATAAAAAATGTAAAAAAATATATGGGGACATTGGAAAATGTTAATGTTATAAAGCAACGTGTATGGAATAATATATTTTACATATAAAATGCTTAGAAAAAGTATTGTAAGGATTTACACCAAGATGTTAATTATGGTTACCTCTATAGGTAATATAATAGGGTGATTTTTGTTTTCTATTTTCTCCAATAAGTATGTATTCATTTTAAGATAAGAAAAAAATTATAAACACAAAAATAGACAATAAGCCATGGGTTTCCCACTCAGGTGAAGTTTCGATGAATAGCATAAGTTTCTTACTCTGGGTAAACTAGCCCTCTTAAACAATTTTTAAAACATGAAGTCAGATCAGCAATTTAAACACAGCATTTGCACCCCTCCTGGGGTGTCAACAACCCATTATTTAAAGAACCAAAAACGGGACATGAATTCCTGAAACAAGAATAATAGTCTGAAAACATCATGACCTCAGCTGCCCAAAATGTGGCCTGGAGAATTGGATTTAACTAGGTTAACTCCTAGGAAATCAGGCTTAAAATCATGTCAGCAAAATGGCACACAAAGCTCCAAGCCCTCACTTCCCCAAGGAAAAAACAAAAAACAAGCAGAAACTGGCAGAAATAACTTTATAGGAGTTCTGGGAAACAAAAATCTACAGCAACCATATGAATATCCATCCTATCAAGAAAAAGCTACCTTCAAAACGGTAGGAAATTTCGTGGCATTTTCACTTGCTTTTGCCCCATCCCCAAACAAAATCTTTGGATCCTAGAGTCTTGGGATCCTAGACCAGGGCTAACTTCTAGAAAGGTTCCCAGTTCTAAAATTCTTCAACCCACTCAGTTAACAAAAACGGAGGAAATAGGTGGGGATAAAAAAAATTTTTTTTAAACCCCAGAAGAGAAGAGACTTAAAGGAAACAAAAACAGCCAAGACGGAGGTGGAAGCCAGGCTGGTCCACGAATTAGAACTGAGCTTTCACTCCTGGTTAAACTTCCGGAATCAACAGCAGGGCGATCCAATCAGAACCTTTCTCCGGGAGCCAATGGGAGAGCACATTACAAAGAGCCAATCCCAGCGGTGCTGTCACTGTTATGGTGCTGTCAGGGCGCCGGCGCCGTGGTGTTTGGGCGGTCGCCACCGAGAGGACTTTGGTGGGGCAGTCTCGGGGGCAGCCCCGCGGCCGGCTGTGCTCGTTGCGGGCCCCGCTTCCAGCCTGCCCCTCCCGGCTTGCGGGCCGCACCGTAGGGCGCGTGTGCGGGTAGGCGCCGTGGCCGCCTTGGAGCCTGGGCCCTACCGCAGCCTCCCCCACCGCCGCAGGCTCCGAGGGGCCGCGAGATGCAGCCGCCGGGCCCGCCTCCGGCGTATTCCCCCACTAACGGGGACTTCACCTTTGTCTCCTCAGCTGATGCAGAAGGTGAGACTGACCCCCGGCGGGCCCGTCACCTCGGAGGACACCGGGCCCGACGCGGCGGGGTCTTTCTGGTGCTGAGGTGGCTGTGGCCGGCCGGGTGGGGACGGGCAGCAAGCTGACTGGTGGCTCAAGCTCTCTGCGCCTGCGGGGCCTTCGACAGGGCCCGAGTGGCGGAGGGAAGGGTGTGGGGGAGCTTTCCAAGTTCTTGTTTGGTCGGCTCTGGCTTTCCCTGCTGCGTCTGGGGCAGGTTTTTCTGGGTGACTTGTCCCCTTACGTGGATCCACGGAACTCGAAGGTTTTAATTCTGAAATGACTTGTTACTTAGAAAAACGATTGTTTGGACAGGGGAGGTGTCAAAGGAGAACGAGGAAGGAGAGCAGCGTTTCTCTGTTGTTTACCAATAGGTAACTTCCGCTGGGATTGGATTCGGCGCTGCAAGTACATGGAATTTGATATCTTGCCTACGTCCCAGTTTTCCTCCTGTTTTTTTAGTGTTTGATCTCAGTATTCAGAGAAGTGGACCCTAGTATATTCGAGACTTCTTGTAGTCCAGCTAGGTGTTCCCAGTAGCTTCTGCAGATTTCCTTGTACTGTTTCCACGAAGATTTCTCAATAGCACAGGAAAAATTTGTTTTCCTACTTTTCTCTGTTCCTTACCAGACTCCCTGACACTGGAACCTTTCTCTGCTAGTTATTGTCACATTTTACTTTTATTAGACTTTGTACACTCGTGGTTTTCCAGTGACCAGACTTCTTGTCTGAGAAAAATAAATTATACTTCACCTATAGAAATTTCAGTCTAGAGAAGAACAGTATTCCCTCAGAAATCCGGTTTCATAGTACGTCAGTTAATAGTTTGTTTTCCCTTTTTTGTTTTGTCTTCCTGATTTTGCTTTTTGATTGGTATTGTTTTAAAAAATAGTACTGTTGTTTTGGTTACAATTTAAAATGTAAAATTAAGATTACCTATATAGAGAACTGATACATTTCTTTTAACTTTAATATGAGTATGTGGTGAAATATAGCAAACCAGAATATTTCAATTTGTTTCATCTACATTTGGTAGGCTAGTGCTTAGGGAGGAATAACAACTTTAATTTCCCAGACTTAAAAAAAAAATGTCTATCATTGAGTATCAGAACCTGGTATTTGTTCAAATTCCTGTATCTGTGTATATAGTTTTCATATCCTCCCTTCCCCCAGGAATTACCTTTCTTAAATACACCTAAGAAATCTGACAATAATATAATGAGCTAACCCAGTGACTATCTACTAAACCAAGAAACCTAAAATAAGTAAAATCTGTAAGGTTTATTCAGACGTCTCCATATAGCCTTCAGGGATGTGTAGAGACTCCCCTTATATCCAAGGATATATAGACAAGGGTAGATATATTTATAATAACATCCTCATGTGTATAACTTTGTACAGCTGAAATTTACAGAGTAGTTTAAGCAAATGTCTTGTTTGGTCTTTATAAGAATTCTTGCTGAGTTTAATTTTTCCTATATTTTATAATAAAATAGGCTTAGAGAAGTTTATTAACTTCCAAATGAAGGATCTGTAATTGAGATCGAGTATTCTGTCTCCTCACATTTCTTTCCAATAAATCTTGATGCCTCTTTGTTA